CACGGATCTTCTACACAAGGATCAACAACCTCCTAAATGCCTGGTAGAGGCGTGATAACGGCCTGTGCGCGTATAGAACATAAAATGCGCTAGTGCTAGACTAGAGTCGGCAGCCTCGACTCCAGGAGCGCGTGCTCGTCCCTTACACTAATCCCTGACTGTGATGATGACGTAAATGACGCTGAATGACTATTCACAGCGTACTGCGTGCGCATTATGAAGATTGCACGCCGGGCGCACCCATAATGCGCTCGCGTGCTTTGCACGTATCTTCACGTACGAAAAAAAAACCACACAATTATGATTCAAAAGTCGCGATGCCTGTACGATATGGATTATGTCAGCCGCGTTTTTCGCTAAAAAAACCCTGCATCTGTGGTTATAAAGGCAAGAAAGGCGTACGTACATTTAATACAAATATTTGCTAATTAACACAACGTCCAAACGTTGTGTTTGAAAGCATTGATTCTTGAATCACAACTTTTAACATTTTACAGATGTCGTCGGCACGTAAAACGGCAGCCCTAATTATAATGTACCGGATTTCAGCACATTTAAATTACAAAAATTCCAGGGGGTTACGATCGAGCAAGGCATGATGGGAAATAACATGGCGTTGCAAGATCGTACCCACGGGGCACGATGTTGTAGAGTCGGCACGCGACTGCAGTTGTGTTTCCGTCAAGTCTTCCATGATTGGGTTTCATGTAGGGCGCGCGTCCAGTATCGCCTACGCGCCCGCATTGTATGTGCTATACGCCCTCAGGCCGTTATCACGCCTCTAGACAAACTGTTCCGTACAAAATGTGTACACAAGCTACTGAAGAGTCGTTTATCATTGTGCAGATGATCCGTGACCAAACCAACGCGACCGTATAGACAGGTAGTTACGCACGTAGAGTACTGAACGACGATCTGCATGAAGACCCTGTCTTACTGAGAATATACCCGACTGACGTAAGGATCAAGACTTCGTTAGTGTTACTCGCTGGTATATACCGAGTACAAAACGCCACTAGACAACATATCGCCTTGAAATTGAGCAATAATAACCATCCTGGTCATAAACAGTCACGAATCGATATGAAACGGTGCTGCGTTCGAATGCTAGCGGTTTCCTGTAATAATAACAGAATCCGCACCGGCAATCTTGGTTGGTGCAGATAATGACAGACCTTGAATACAAAGAACCCGGAGAAAAAAAAATATACGCATTGAGAGGGCCGAAAAATTAAAGATTTTTTAAAGATGTTTTTTTTTTTTTTTTTTACTTTGGACGTATTTTAGAATTTCTGCATGATAACGCAAAGCACATCAGCTGATCCAATACAAACTAAACAAGTGCATGTTTTCTTGATTAGAATTTTTCTTAATTTACAAGCACGTAGACATTCACAGAGTAAAAAATAATGTGTGTATTATGGCTGGGTCCATTCAGAGTTTTTTGCCGATTCTGGGAAATGGCGTTGTTATTGTCAATCTATGTCCAAAAAATCAGAAAGTGCCATTAAAATTCCACATTGCTAAACATGTTTAATGTAATCTTTCTAGTTGTAAAAATACTGAATGCAGTAATTTCGACAATTGCAATATGTTCCTTGACATGTACGCTGTCGAGTGGCGACACTGTTTTGATCGCAACTTCAGAACGAGGTTAAGATGGCCGCCAAACTGTAAACCCGTGTATCGAACAATACAGAACATCGCTGGTATATACCGAGTACAAAACGCCACTAGACAACATATCGCCTTGAAATTGAGCAATAAGGACCATCGCGGTCACAAACAGTCACGAATCGATATGAAATTGTGCTGCACCGTGTTCGAGCGGAGGCGGTTTCTGTAATAAGCACAGAATCCGCAGCAGCATTCAAGGTTGGTCAAGACAATTACAAAACCATGTATATGAACCCATAAAAAAACGATACGCATCGAGAGGGCCGAAGTATCACATATTGCAATTCAGAACTTTTGTCTTTGGTTTTTAAGCAAGGTCTAACCGAAGTTTCCCAATACTTATGTTCCCCAACACCAATGTTCCCGAAACCCTTAGGATTGGTGTTATAGGGTTAGGGTAAGGATTTCGGGGAACATCGGTATTGAGGAATAAAGGTATTGGGAACATAGGTATGTACCTTTTTCAAGGCAATATTGCTAGGACATCATCGTCGTCGTCGTCATCGTCTAGACAATTACAAAACCATGTATACAATAAACCCATAGAAAACGGTACGCATCGAGAGGGCCGAAATATCACATATTGCAATTCAGATAGTTTGTCTTTGTGGGGGCGTCGTCGTCAGCCTCCTCCTCGATATTATTACTATTGTTATTATTATTACCTTGGGTCTGGCCAAACAGTTAAAAACTCGTTTAAATTAGGGCCCCTACAAAAATCACTAAAACATGTATGTATACAAACATGAATACAAATACAGTACCAGTACCAGAACTAGTACCAGTTCCACCAACATAGTTCCAATCTATTATCCATTCACACTGAGGCTTTTGGACAATGAGGTGTGTGCGATACAACCAAAAAAGTTCCAATCTATTATCTATTCAAATTGAGGACTTTCGACAACGAGATGTGTGCGGTTTCAATGGGCCCGAGGACCTGAGCAATAGTCCTCGGGAAAATTTCGTGTACAAACCTCATGGGAGCTGTGGAGAAAGTACAAACAAATAGAAAGATACGAAGGAAAGGACCAGGTCCTCATGGGTTTAGTAAAACATTGGTGTGCTAGTGAGTTTGTTTCTGCAGTTAATAGGTGACGTTGAACAATGGAAGACAAAAGGGTCCCCAATCGAAAGTCACCAATTTGGAATCGTGTTCAAAACATACGAGAGGTCTTCCTAAAAAGTAAGTACACACAAAAGGGGGAAAATAGGGGCCCTCGATTGCAGGTAAATATGTGTTTATGCGAAGTGATACATACACCGTGCCTTCTGGAGATGTGCACACAATAGGGAACACAAAAATTGTATATGTCTCCAAAGGGCAATTTCTATAGATGAATAAGTTTCCACAAGATTTTCACGAAATAGAAATATGTATTTTACTCAAAAACTATGAAAAAAATTCCAAAGTGGGTTGATACGTCGCAAATGGAAGAGTTTAAAAAAAAAGGATATTAAGTCCGAATTTCAGCCAAGGAAATTATTTCTGGTTAAAATAAGAGCATTTTGAAACCTCACTTTCGAACTCGAAAACTTTACTGCACGAGAACAAAGAAATGTCTCCAAAAGAATACACATTTCAGTATACGTAAGTGTGTGTATGTGAAAAAGATGGGGCGGGTTTTGTTCAACTCACGTTGGTTTATATTACAATGGGCGAATACGCATACGCGCTCGCAGGAACTTCTCTTTGGCCGATAGCTGTATTGTGAATACTGCTATGAATAACACTCTAAAGTATCACATGCTGTCCTTTCCCATCTGTCACTCCTCCCTCTCGTCAGTCAGACCTCATTTGTTGCAGGTTGCAAACAGAGTGTTTTTGTTAATTTCAGTTATGTTACAATATATCTACAAGGTTTTACTCATTTTTAACGGGAAATTGAAAATCATTGTCTTCAAACCCCACCTTGACGAATATATTCAAATCGAGAGCGAGCGCTGGTAATATTATCCCTGGAGATCATGCAGTCGACAGCATGTCTGCCATGGTACCATGGAGTCCCCTGTCTCATTTGATTTAATGCTCTGGGAATTCATTATTCTGCACATAACTACAAGTTATCCATATGATTTATGATTTACCATATTGTATACGCTCGTTCATTAATTGCTGATGCGTAAGGATAACTACAATGATTTACCATAATGTATATGCTCGCTCATTAATCATTGATGCATAAGGATTCAATATGTTAAATACACAACCGACTAAAGCACAGCTTACAAAGTCGACCATATGCTTAAAATCGTACGAGAACAAGGCTTGTTCATTAAATATTAATATTTAAGTTTGCATCTAAAGTAAACATAAAAGTTATTGTGACTTTGGACGTGTTCCTTGGCTTCATCGCACACGGGTGTATGACTTCTGACTGACGCCTAACGAAAAACAGACTAAATGGTGAGCCGCCAACATAGGGCTGGATTGCTCAACTGTTAGAGCAGTGAATTGACAATCCCGAGGTTGCAGGTTCAAACACCAGTTAATTGAACTTTTTTTGTGTGAAACTTTAAAATAATAAAAATTAAATAAGCATAATTATTTAAAGCAAATTTTTTTATAGCATAACGTATTCAACAATTTCCATTGACATTATTAATATTTTTACTTGTGTCTCCTTAAGTTGGGTTAAACAAAAAGTGAGACTTGAAAAGTGTGAAAATGCTCTCACTTGGACCTATTTCAACACAATGGACGTAAAAAAAAGTCGGGACTCTGGTACGTTCGCATACACAATTTATATTTAATCTTTGAATATCAAATCGACAATATGTTTACAGTCGTAATTTTGGAACGCTTGTTCATTAAATATTAATATTTGAGATTTGCATCTGCAGTGAGCATAGTTAAATTTAAAGTAACAGATTTAAAGTAAACTGTTTCCATGGAAAAAAACTTGTTGATCGACCGCCCGGAGTAATTGTGAACAAACTAAATCGTCCCGTCAAATTAGTTTTGTTCTTAATAAACAATTAAGACTGAGGAAAAATTTGAACACATTTACAGTCAGTACAGTAGAATACTGTAGAATATGTACTGCTTTAACGTTAGCATCGGTAGCCGTGTCTCACGTTGTGCTGTTTTATTGGTTAACATACATTTTTCATGAGACTCAGCCTGCTTTTAAATAGGGTCGCCATATTATGTAAACTGACGTAAAATACATCAAATCGGTTATTGCAGAAGTCATTAACATATTTATTAAGATTCGATACTGATTTGCACATTCATTGATTTTTGTATAAATGAACTTGACATTGTGCTGGTAGAGTACAGAACAATCGAACCGCTCGCCCAGCACGACATACTTCGACAGTTGTGAAACAAGTAAGTCCTGCACAAAGATATGACTTACATACTTTATTGGGTTTTATAAACAACTATAATGTGAAGGTATTTTGAAAAGATCCGAAAGTGTGTTCTAAGACGTAACCCTTTCACTTTTAAATAGAACAATTGTATGAAGAGGCCTTCGTACTGTAATAAATGTATCACAACAAACGTTATTATACACTTAAAAGGGTCATTATTAACAGTATTGCCTGCAGCTCAATATTCCACTCTTTACTCGTTATCTGTCTTTTGTTTTTGAATTTGTTTTAAGAAAACGTGTCATCAATCTTTATCATCCAGGTCTGTATACTACAATGGAGCTGGGAGCATTGGACGTGGCCACGATTGCAGTAGAGGTCATCGGTGGCTTAGCGATTGCTTGTAATTTGATGGCGGTGGCCGTCTTTGCAACAACCAAGTCACTTCACCGCAAGTATTATTGGTTCATTCTCAACCTCGTTCTCGCGGATATTGCTTCCCCTACCTTAGCAATCGTGCAGCAGGTTCGCCCAGGTAAAGCCCCAGTTGCCCTGGTGCGAGGCGCTGCCTTCGCAGCTGAGTTGAGTATCTTATCGGTTGCATTGAATAATTTCCTTGCAATCGTTATCCCATCTCGTTATGACGTGATTGTGACGCGCTGTCGCATGGTGGTATACTGCTTGTTCATTTGGGTCCTGTCTCTCTCTACCTTCCTTGTCTTGACGTATATTCAAGAGTACGCATTCTGGATCGTTCGACCACTGTTATCCCTCACCGTGATAATTCTGACTGGAATTCTTTACTGCGTGGTATTCCTGACTATCAAGAAGTACAGGGAGTCGCAGGCTTCAACTACGGGCAATGATCTGACGGCTGACCGGCTGCGTCGCACTCGACGATTGATGATCACTTTCACCGTCATCCTGGTGACATCTTGCGTGTGTCAGATCCCATTCTGCAGCATCAACATCATGATATTTTTCAGTGGAAAAGATCTGTGGGGTCAGGACTACAGTGTCTTGGTCTTTCATAAGTGGAGCGTTGCATTTGTGCTTCTGAGCTCTCTCGCTAACCCGTTCATTTACTGGTGGCGTCTGGTTGACTTCCGGTCAAGGTTCTGTAAGAAGAAGAACGCAGATGAGACGGAGCTGGCAACGGTTAACACACAGGCGCCGATGTAGGTCCATTATTGAAACCAGAATATTGACGGCATTCCCCTGCACGACAGCGTACTACATATAGACAGTGTTTCAAGCCGGACAACCATACCCGATCTTCACTCAAGCTATGGATATATTTGCTCTGGAAAACAATCATTTTTTTTAATACTGTAACTTGAACGTTAGACGGAATGTATACATGACAACAATTATGTAATTCAAATCACTTTTAGTGATCCTTCCACTGATTATGAAGACATGAGGAAGCGTAGTTATGCCTGTTCTTGCTGAAATCCTGTCAGTTCAGTTCACTTTGTGGCGCTGTGTTCCGGGTCGACCTTGTTGTACGGTAGGCCTACACAATGGTAAGTACGCATTGTACATGGAAGTGTGCTTTTACCATTCTGTCTGAGGACAGGGCATAATGTTCCCTTTTGTTCTTATACTGTAACACTCCCCAATAGAGTACGCACGGAGACAAAACATTCCGAGGGTAAGGCCAAACAAAATAATAAGTCGGTCTCTGGTCAGCGCGCGCGTCGATTCCAACATCGCCCTCTATTGCCGCAGCTCCTCATTTTTTTGTTTATCAACGAGCACCAGGAATGGGAAATTGCACCAAGGCAAATGGTCGAGAGCACCAAGGCAAATTATGGAGGACACCAATGTACATGAGGCAGTGTTGGAGCAAAGGCTTTGACCCTCAAGGCCAAGGCCAAGGCCAAGGTTTTGACCCTCAAGGCCAAGGCAAGACCAAGGCTTTGACCCTCAAACCTCGAGGCCAAGGCCAAGGCTTAACCCTCAAGGCCAAGGCCAAGGCCAAGGCCCTGTTTTATGAAATGACCACTGATATAGAACTAATTATAGTCACATGAGTGACACATCATCACGCAAGGGCGGATCCAGAAAACAATTTTTTTTTTTTTGGGGGGGGGCAAAGAAATTTGGTCCCCCCCAAAAAAGTGGGTCAAACAATTACGGCTTGGGCTTCGGGGCCCCGAACAATTTTTGGATTCTAGATGCTCTGTGGTGCGATTTGAGGCAATTTCTGACCACTTTAACCAATGTTTTTTTGAGGAAAAGATGGTGGTGTACTCATTGCCTGCCTTTATTATGACGTCAAATTAAAAAAAAATGGTTTCGTTGGTTTTTTTTTTTTTTTTTTTTTTTTTTTGGGGGGGGGGGGGGCAAGGCCCCTTTTGGCCCCCCTGGATCCGCCCTTATCATCACGAATTGCTCGCTTCGAAGAACGTTAACATTTCTTTAATTGCAATCAACATGCTCGCATAGGCCTACACCGTTTTATGACTGCACTGTATCTATTAAAGTATAAGTTCAGGTCTTCAATATGGTTTAACTAAACAAAATAATGATATACTTCTTTATTGACACACAGTTCTCCCAAGTGTAACAAAAGGGGGATCCAAGAAACTGATTTGGGGAATTTTTAATTTGCTGGCCCAACATGGTCAGAAATATCAGCATTATCTAAAACAGATACATGCAAATCTTTAGCACTTATTAGGGAGACATATACAACCAACCAGATCTATTCCATAGTTATATGCAATTAAAGTGATCATCTCATTAGCCCCACAAGTTTACGAAATATTTTTGCAGCAAATCTACTACAATGGTAACAAAATGTGATGCTACAAAAATGGAAGTGTGCCCAACACACAAATCTATAGGGTGCTTCCCTCCTCCATGGTGATACGATTAAAATGGTAACAGCAAAATTTCGTACATATTTATCTGAAAAAAAATAAAAAATCTATGGCCCTTGAAAAGTCTTGACTCAAAATAGCAAGGCCCTGAACCATCAAGGCCAATGCCAAGGCTTTTGCCCTCAAGCCTCGAGGCCAAGACCAAGGCCCTAAAATCCAGCCTTAAGGCAGCCTTAAGGCCAAGGCCCAGCATCAAGGCACTGCATCACTGACATGAGGACACCAACAAAGAAAAATAGTACCCCACCTTGTCTGTACAATCCAAGCTTGAAGAAAAAAAAAGCCGCGTCCCCGCGTCAATTCCGGAATTTCGGTCTGACCAGAGACCGAATATTTTTTGTTTAGCCTAACAAAGAAAAACTTATTCTCTCGTTGCTGTCATCGAGGGGCCGTATCATAAGTACGACGCCACATAGGTCCGACGCCACGTAAGTCCAAAAAGTTGGACTTCTGGGGCGTACGTCGGACTTATGAGGCATAAATTCCGTCTCATAAGTCAGACGCTTCCTATGTCCGACAATGGACAAATGCTGTTTCGGACTTATGAAACAACGGACCTAAGAGGCGTCGGACTTTTGAGTGCACCCCATCACCAATGTGTATGCAATACAGGAGCGGTTCCTCATAAGAAAGCCCTTCCCGCTAACAGCTTAACCTCTGTAGGCTCCTTACGTAGCACACCCTGCTCCTTCTTGTTGCGATTTGTGTTATATCTCAAATCAGAATTCGGCCTAGGCCTGATCAGAGGGGGACCTAAACTATCCAAAACAATGGGACACGTTATATTTAGTTAGGGTTTATAGACTAGTTAAGTGATAATTTCAATAGTATCCCCCCAAAGCAGAACCGTGCACACGCCACAAAATCTGCTTTGGTATTTGTGTTGGAAGATAAGAGAAATGTTCCTGCTGAACATCGCTTTTAAAGGCTTATGTGTTTATTCTGTAAGTGTTCTCCCCAATTTACATAATAACATCATTAAAATTCCATAATAATAGACACTTAAATTTCGCTCAAATTTGGCTTAAATTCCTGTTCCGTAAATACACCATGCATTTCTTCTTTGGTCCAGGTCAATTCGCGAAAGTTGCTTTTTATTTCGTCCTTGCTTTAACACATACTGCACCAAATCTGAAATCTAATTATGTAAATTCGGAATAAAATAAAAAAAATAAAAAATGAATCCGAACCCTCCTGGACGCAATTTGAGTATCTTACCATACTAATTGAATGATACAAGTGTTCAAGGAAATATATGTCATTTGCTTTTGCTGTAATTTAAAAAAAAATGGATGGATTAAGGGCTTGGAAATATATAGCAAATTTTGCTACACTGACTAGTTGACAATTTCTAGATGCTATACAAACAAAGAAAAAAAACATCATGTCCCTGTAGTCTGATTCCCTGGCTCCATTTAAGATGAAACGGAGCAATTTATAGGCAGCAAGGAAGTGTAAGGTCAGGGAACCAGTACAGGATGCTTAAGAATGTCATTCACTAACAGTCTAGCAAGGTATTTCAACATAATTTGTTAGTTTTAATGTTCGATGTTTGCAAATGTTGTATTTTTCCTTTTAAGTCATTGGGAAGATATATATTTATTTTGACAACTCCCAAAACGAAGGAGTAACCAATTGAAGGTCGATCTTTTCAAATATTGAGGTGAAGTATAAGAAGTTTGTCATTAGTTTTCATAAAATTAGTATTTCAGTTTTCTTTTTTGGTGATAAAATTATTGTGGGAAGGGCAAGTTGGGCGTATTAAAAGAATTAAAAGTAAGGAATATTTTGGGTTGTTCAGAGTGTGAACAAGCTAATTTTGGCATTCAGTTTGATTTTGCACTCGATGTGGACATGTGGGATGGAAACATTAAAACAACCCTGGGATGTGTGGATATATTTCTGAGTAAAGAGGTGCTCTCCAAGTTGTTGGACATTGACATTTAAATTGACAGTATATCATATGACATAAATTCTGCTTCAGTGAAAACTAACTTTTGGCTCGTGCTCAAGGCAATCACCTAACACAAGTGGAAAACTAAAAAGCTAGCTCAAAGTGTCTTATATTTAAAAATAAAAGTTCAAACATGGCTTTTGCGGTTACGGAGTCGTTTTTATTAGTTGAAAAGTTTTAAAGTATTGAATATACAATTCCACTTTATACGTACATTAAATTTTTACGTTTTAGACTTAGCTTTATTATATTTATAATTACAGTCACATCATTAAATTTAGTAAATATTATTGTACACTTTGTCGGTTCACAGATTTCTTTCTGCCATCACCTCGATGGTTGATTGACTGAAAATACCAGTTCCGAATGTGAAATTGTTAGCAACCTGTGCATGTTATGCTTTTTTAACATACTAAGTAGTTGAAATCAAGAAATTATTGTCTTAAATTGCTTTATTATATTTTACTTCACCTTGATCCATATAACCTATTTAATCTAACTTCAACTATTCACTCTAATCTGTTGTACCTTTCAACTCTATGCTTTTGTATTGGTTATAAATCCACCAGTATGTGGTACTAGCCTTTCTACTGTTTAACTTCAAGGACGCCTAAACCTTGGGTAATGCTCCAAGCAACAATTGTTTTGTGTGGCGGCGGCGACAATTTGTTGCTGCCAAGCACAAAGGGTTTTTGTCGTGTTGCAGGTACAACTATTAATGATGTATTGCGCTACTCCTTGCACTTCTTGGCGTATCAGCTTCTGCAATGTATCATTTGTTCTTTTAATTTCAACGCGTTTATTGTTGGAACATATCGACTTATCATTTTTAGAGGGGGGGGCAGAGACATTTCCCCCCCCAACCCATTTTATTTACAGCCATGTGACTTCGCTTTTTTTTTTGGGGGGGGGGGGAGTTGGGGGGGGGGGAGGAGGCGGGAGGCGGCGCCCCCTTGCCCTCCACAACTACCCCCCCCCCCCTCCCTTTGCGTCGCCAATGGTTGTCCTGCGCCATTAATATCATAAAGTGTTACCTGATTGTGTCTAAATGTTAAGAGTGAGTTTATTTACGTTCACGTTTAATGTACATTCGGGAGTTGTCATAGATATGTTCTGATACAATCCATTTTAACATCTTGTGGTAGTGTTCTCAACAAAATCAACCATTCACCTAAATAGAACGACGCACAAAACGATTGCATTTTGAGGGAAAAAAATATTCGACAATAATTTGATTAAACGAACTTTTCCATTTTTGACTTTGTGCATTACATTTTGGGAAAGAAGAACTATTATTATAATGTTACATTCGTAAATTATACTGCTATAATAATGACATT